GTTTCAGGTGCCTTGATCTTCAGTATTTCTTTTATGAATATATCTCTCGATGACTCTCAGAGTCAAGCACGCTTTATTTCTCTTTGGCTGCTTCGTTTATATATGTTGTCTTGGCAGACCGTTTGGGCATCCTTCATTGAATAGTTGATCTTCTAATCTTGGGACTTGCCTTGATATTTTGAATTGCTTTCCTTTCATGATATTTCCCATATCCGAGCTCAATATATAAGGCAGCCAAATGAAGACATTTAAAATATCATAATCATATATTCAAGGTAGCATATTAGACACAGATTAAGAGAATAAATACAAACGGCTCATTCAAATCACGTGGATCAATTAATTACCAAATACAACAAGCTTTGGTCAACTCCCAAAAAGGTAGGAATATTATTCTTAATACAAGAGAAGGTGCTACGGCCAAGATATGGATTCCATTAAAAAAAATTCGTTTTCTAAGTGGATGCAATCATTCAAGAACCTTTCCATAAAGATATTCAATTAATAAGGATGACTTTATCAAATCCGTATAACAAGAATTCACTTAACAAGTATAAGTGCTATGGTCAACATCCAATTATTAATCATGCAATCATTAATATAGAAAGTAAGGATACTTTCCATAAGTGGATGTCTAATCAAGCATGTAAAGAGAATAAGTTGCTCAATGGAAAGTACGTGTATATATATATATATATATATATATATATATATATATATAGAGAGAGAGAGAGAGAGAGAGAGAGAGAGAGAGAGAAATCATCATGTCAGGCCGGCCTGACGGGCTGCCCCGTCCGGCCGAGCCCGTTTGGGCACCTTCCCGGTGGAATTTTTTGATGAACTTTTTTGAGCATGTTCCTCATCAAGTCTAGTTTGTCCATACCAAATTTCAGCTCAAAATTCGATCGGGAAGGTCGTCAAATGATTTTTGCAAGTTAACTGGTCCGGAATATGTATTTTCCGGACCAGTTAACTTGCAAAAATCATTTCACGACCTTCCCGATCGAATTTTGAGCTGAAATTTGGTATGGACAAACTAGACTCGATGAGGAACATGCTCAAAAAATTTCATCACATCAAAAAATTCCACCGGGAAGGTGCCCAAACGGGCTCGGCCGGACGGGGCAGCCCGTCAGGCCGGCCTGATGAGAAGAGCTCTATATATATATATATATATATATATATATATATATATATATATATATATATATATATATATAATGGACATGCATAAAAGATTTTTTTTAAAATAATATTCTTGACAAGTATGAGCACTCACATAAGGAAAGCACATTAATTTTCAATTAAGTAGATGCAATAAATATTAATTCAAACCATATCACGGAACTAGAAGTGGGGGTGGTTCTGTCCGCCGTTCCACCTGCATGGTTAGTCAACAACATAATAATAATGTCCATTTGGACCTGAGGATAGTTCTATCCGCCGTTCAGGTCTATAGCTTGTTCCAAAGTACGGTTTATCTTCCTTTCTTGCAATCACTTATAGATCAAAAGTAACACTAATTGTTTGTCATCAACAAAACAATATGTTCCAACACCCATATACACTTTGAATTAAGGACGGCCCATGAAAAGACCCGCCTAGAGAGCCCAGCCCAGGATGAAGGGCTGGCGCCTGGCGTACTTTTGTCAAACATCGCCTCACGATGGTCACCTCGGAGGAACGCACCCCGGCATGAGTAACCTTGATTCCTTCACCAACAGGTTCGAGGTGCGCTTGAACTTCGGACCCAATGCTAGCAGACTCTCTCACAGGACCCTTAGTGGGTTATAAAGCATGTAAACAGCTCATTAGCAGCTCATTTTAGTAATCGGGCCTCCCAGACCCAAGACCTGGAAGCCCAATCCATATTTCCCCTTAATTATACCCCTAAGACCAGGGTAGGTTTATGGGGTTCACAACTCATTTATTGCAAACTCTTTCTCTTTATATTTTAGCTCTCCTAGAAAGTGACAAATTATTTGGAAACAAATAAAAACCTAAATTTGGAAGTATGCAATGAGACCGAGAGGATATATTTATTAATATGTATCTGGTAATATATACGGTACAACCGGCTGTACCTAGAGCATGGTACAGCCGGATTATTTTGTAATTAGATCCAGATTTTAGGGTAATGGTTAGGCTATTGGTTGTTGGGGCTTTTCTTTTTCTGCCGTCGGTCCGCCACTCTTCATTTTGTTTTTGTTTTCTCTTTTCTTTATTCGCTACCTTTGACTTTCTTTCCATGCTTTTCAGTTTTTCCATTTTACGCTTCTTTTTAGGTTTCAACTTTCAATGCTTTTAGTTGTTTTCCTTTTTAGTTCGTTCTTTTTTCTTTTGTTTATTTTCTTTAACATGCTTTAATTTCTTATTCAACTATTATGAAAATGGTTAATATAAAATATTGTCAATGTTTGAGTTTGTTTCTTCTTCTTTTTTAATCAACCTTCTAACTCGAGTTTTATTAATTTGTGCATTATGTTATCGATGTTTTTCATCTATTTTTTAATTTAAGATGAATATTTATTAGTTACTAAATATTGTGTATTAATTACTAACATGAGTTATGTGTTATAATAAAATGAGTATAATGTAAAATAAATATGCACAAATGAACATTTGAACATATAAGAGAATTCAAACAAGCTTTTAAATTTTCAAAGCTCATTTTGTAAGTTACTTGTGTTCATCTCGTACTGGTTTATGCTCATTTCAAAAGGTCATGATACTCAATTGCATGTTTCTGATAATCAATTGATGAGATTTGATGTTCATTGAAAATGTATTGATGATCAACTAACCAAGCTTATAATTTTGATATCATTTCTCATATGGTAAATTGTGTATGTTCATTTGACATTGGTGTTATGCTCATTTTAAAATGTTATGTCAATGCATATTACAAAAGCACTATATTACATTAAGTTTCGTAGGAGTTGATGATTATAGATACGAGAGCTCAAACCATGATACTCAATTACAGAGAGGATGTTTGATACTCAATAAAAATGTCTTAATGTTCAACTAGAAAACTGATTACTTTCGTATTACTGCTCATTTTGTAAGTTACGTGTGCTCAATTGGTACTTCTATTATGCTCATTTTGAAATGTCATAATAATGCATATTTCAAAAGTACCATATTACATTAGATTCGCATATTGAAATTCATAGGAATTGGTTATAGATATAATTTAATGAGTTTTAAAAAAAAGGAAAAAATAAGAAAAAAAAAGTGAATTACAATATTTGAAGTTGATATCACAATACTCATTATTCGACTCTTAATGCTCATTTTAAAATTGTCATATCAATGCATATTTCAAAAGTGCAATATTACTTTAGATTCACATATTGAAGTTACGCTCATAGAAAATGATTATATATAATTTAATAAATTTTTATAAAAGAAAAAATAAGAAAAAGAAAGTAAATTAGAAAATATGAATCAAAGATCACGATATCATGGTTACACTCCTGATGCTCAATAGAATATTATTGCTCATTTGGTACGTTTTGTATGCTCATTTCGTACTGGATCTATGCTCATTTTAAAATGTTATATCAATGCATACTACAAAAGTGTCGTATTACATAATATTTACATAGGAGTTCATTCTAGATACTAGATCGAGCACATACCTTAATACTCTATTGAATGTTTCTAATATTCAATAGAAGAGATTTGATGTTCAATGAAAATGTCTTGATACTCAATCAAAAAAAACTTATCAATGCTCATTTTGTAAGTAACATATGCTCAATTTATACTCATTTATGCTCATTTTTAAAATGTCATATCAATGCATATTTCAAATGTCATATCATGATTTTCATCAATCTCAATAAAGGAGTTGTGATGCTGAATGAAAATATCGTGATGTTCAACTAACAAAGCAACTAACAAATTCATTAATACTCGTGATGTAAGTTACATATGCTCATCTGATACTGATCTTATGCTCACTTTCTAAATGTATTATTTTATGATAGACTCCTAATACTCAACATAATAGGTATGATGCTCATTAAAAATTCATTAATACTCATTCACAAGAAACTGTGGTTTTCATCTCAATGGCAGATGTTGGATGTTCAATTAAAATGTCGTGATGTTCAACTAACAAATCTTACGATAAAAATAACAAAAAGAAAGTGAATTAGAAGTTATGAAGCAGATATCACAATTCTGAATATTATACTCCTAATACTCAACAGAATAGGTATGATGCTCATTAAAATTTCATTATTACTCATTCTCTAGAAGTCGTGATTTTCATCTCAATAGTGGAGGTTGAATGCTCAATTAAAATGTCATGATGTTCAACTAACAAATGTTGCAATTTTCATATCAATGTGCACTTTGTAAGTTATGTATGTTCATTTGGTACTCATGTTATACTCATTTTTACAATGTCATATCAATATAATGTAATTTTCCTTTTATAAAAACTTATTAAATTATATTTCTAATCAACTCCTATGAATTTCAATATGTGAATCTAATGTAAAATAGTACTTTAAAGAAAATATGCTGATATGACATTTAGAAAATAAGCATAAGATCAGTACCGGATGAGCATGCACATCTTACAAAATGTTCCTAGATATGAAAATCGCAAAGTTTGTTAAGTTGAATAACAACATATTCATTAAGCATCAAATATCATCTATTGAGATGAAAATCCTTGTTTCTGTTAAATGAGCATTATTAAACTTTTAATGTGCATTAGTCCTATTATGAGCATTAAAACAATTTTGATGAGCATCATGCTTATCAGAAACCTAACACTATATAAAAAAAATTATAAATATATTTATATAAATTAATACTAGATATCAAATAAATACTTCAAAAATATGAATTACTCTTTTAATATAGTAATAATGAGAAAAAGTAAAAGAATAGTTAATATTATAATTACTATTAATAATACGTAGTATGCAACTATATAGGATAAGTAAGATAAAAGAACTAATTATTTCAACAAGATGACTTGGTGAGATGGTTGGAAGATAGCATATGCTACTACAGGTCTGGGGATCGATTCTTGTTGTGGTTTTTACTTTTTGTGTGAAGGAATCCAGTTCCCTATGGTCGCGATTCGCTGGGACAAGATGTCAGCCCACCAGTCAATATCATTAATTGGGCCGGATGTACGTACACCCGGGTGTACGATATAGGACTCTATGTATCCTAAGCTAGCTAGTTCCAGAAATGGGATGGTCTTCATTATGAAATTGATGAAATATCTTGTACCCGTAATAAATAAGATTCTTATAGAGTAAAGTGTTTGTGGTTTGTGTATTGTGTGGGATGAGTATTACAAGGATTAGTGAGTGCGGTGTAGTCATTATCTTGTGCAATAGCTCAAGATAGATTTAATTGTCGAAACAATCGACATTATCTTTGCCGCCGCCGCCTCCAAATAAAAATGAGTATGCATACCAATCGTCTTTGTAATTAAATCCATTATCACCGCAATAGTAACATCTGGAGTCTTGAGCTTGAACCATTGAATCGTCAACAACATTGCCTCCGTACACAGGATCGATGTAAAACAGTCGCCGCATATAACAGGTTTTGTCATATTGTCCATTCACAAATGCACCGCTTCCCATTTCCGGGCTATAGACCTCACCTTCTGCTTCAAAACTCTCACCTCCAAATCGCAATTGAGCAGCAGTTTCACTCATGCTGGAAAATATGGATTTTGTCCACATTCCAAGGTTTTCATCTTCATCATCAAAATTTAGGACCCAATCACCGTCCGTACCCTAAATAATGTTTATGGAGTTAATTATCAAAATAGGACTAAAAGTCACTCACTTTGCACAAATAGGACCAAAAAATAAACTATGTTTCCATAGGAATAAAAATATAAGATGTCTTATTTTTTATATTTGTCATACTTTTACTCCTATTCTGGGTAATTTGTTATATGATATACTCCGTAAAATTTAATTAAACTAACAACTAGATTATAGGAGGTAAGAGTCAGATTGGTACTCAAAGTTGAGTCAAAAGAGTCAAATAAGTCTTTACTGTCTGGCCGTCGCCATTTGAGGCGGTTCTCGGTGGAATTTTTTGATGAATGCTTTGAGCATCTTATTCATTAGGTCTAGTTTACTCATACCAAATTTCAGCTAAAACTTCTATCGTGAAGGCATTCAAATAAATTCTTGAAGATAACTGCGCTTTTAACTGCGCAGTTATATTCAAGAATTCATTTGAATGCCTTCCCGGTTGAATTTTTATCTGAAATTTGGTATGAGTAAACCAGACTTAATGAATAAGATGTTCGAAAAATGTTTTCAAAAAATTCCATCGGGAACCGCTCCAAATGGTGACGTCCGGACAGGATCTCCTATATGAGGACTTATTTGACCCTTTTTATGCAATTTTGAGTACCAATCTGACCCTTATCTCTAGATTATAGTTACACAAATAGTGTCAATTACTTCGAATGATTTTTCTCTCAAAGAAAAACTAAAATTTAAATTCAGTGATGTAAATTAAACATAATGGTTAAAACATAAAATAGTGAGGAAAACATTATATTTGCATAAGTTATAGAAGTATATATAAATTTTATAAAGATATTGTGCGTATAATGATCTTTTCAGAGTTCCAATAGGCCGCTCCTGCAAATCATCAAATTAAATTGATTATAGGGAAAATGGAAACTAATAATCCAACCTTTTAGCGATTTTCTTTTAATAGTCCCACCTTTTCGTTATTCATGAATAATCCAACCTTTGCACCTCATCTTCATTCACTGGTCCCTGACTGGTTGATGACCTGCTATTCCAAGTTATTTTCTTATCTTTGCAAAATATTATCTTTGTGAAAGGTGGAATTTATGGTATAATAGTTTGCAGAGATAAGAAAATAACTCGGAATAGCAGGTCATCAACCGGTCGGGGACCAATGAATGAAGATGAGATGCAAAAGTTGGATTATTCATGAATAACGAAAAGGTGGGACTATTAAAAGAAGACCGCTAAAAGGTTGGATTATTAATTTCCATTTTCCCTGATTATAAAAGGCATCGATCATGAAATTGATTTCTCTTTGCAACAACAAAACTGAACTGTAGTACACCTACACATTTATCATTTGTAGAGGTCGCGCTGCTAAATGTTTGATACATTTATGAGAATTCATTGAAAAAATTAAAAATGTTTTCTTTTCGATTGAAACTTGCTGGTTGGGTTATGTCTGGATATAATAATAATTTTATTATTATATCTTCAAAATATATATTCACCATGTTTATATTATGTCCACAAAATTTCAGATTAAAGTTTAATCAGTAAGTCATAGAAATAAATTACGGAGTATTAAATAACATTGTGCCAAAATATGCAGAAAAATGCAGTCTTTTCAATAATTTATTTAATTGACTTAAATATTGAATTTTAAACCGATTTTTTTAATATGATTTAAATTTCATAAAGAATATGTTCATTAAGTTTCATAAAAAAGTTCACTTGAAAACACCTAAAAAATCACCCGAAACATTATTAGAGCATCTTTAACGGGGGCTTCGATTGCACTAAATGCATTGCCACGCCAGACCTTGCAAAAATTATCATCTCCAACGCAAATATGCATTTCATCTATCGTGTTGAGGTGTAAACCAAATGAATCGAAGGTGTCTATCTGCCTTTCTAGTTGTAGCGGGTGTGTCTGACATGCTGACTCAACATAACATTTATTATACGGAGTAATTCCCTTCCGGCTACGAACCTTCTCGCTGCAGTAGTATCCCACGCGAGATCAACTCCGGCACCATCTCGCAAGTCACAGTCCCTTTCCATGCGGTGGCACTCCTCCTCTTGGCGGCATCGGCTGGTAGTCCCTTTTTCTCAGGTGATCGTCTTCTCCGACTCCTTAAACTTCCAAAATAAGACTTCCTTTTCTTCCAATTTCCATAGCTTGAGCACTCTGCTCATTCTTCCAAGTTCCAAATTGGTTCTTGTAATGTATCTAGACTGAGAGATGGTTGTTTTCTTAGCCTCAGTGATCGTAATATCAAGCATGTCAATTTTTGGCAGATCAAATAATCAGATCTTCTCCTCCCTAAGCACCAGCCATTCTGTATCGCTCTTTTTCATTTACATTTCACACTATTTCGCCGTTCTTTTTTTTTTTGTATTTTCTATTTCGCCGTTCTTTACACTCCGTATACTCCCTTTTCAATTTTTTGCGTATAAACCAAGAGTCAAATGTTTTTATTTAGGGAATGCAAGAAGGCTTAGATGAGGACTCCATTGGAGAAGAAGAATGAATTTAAGGGTATGTGCATCCAGGTCAGCTACACGGGATGTCTATACGGATGATGTGTCCATTTTTTGAGAGATACAATCCACGTTACCATTAAAGATATGGGCCTATACGGATGATGTGTCCTGGGCTGAAACTCATCCTACTCACACCCATCACACAATATACTCATGGGCCTAATTCTTTCCTCTTTGTTTGGGCCTAGGGTCGCCCCAGAATACTAGCTATCTGGGATCAAAGATATTGTTTTATACCGGTGTAATTGTGTAAGTAATTGATAAATGTGCATGGGGAATGAGTATGGGCAAATGCATAAATAATACGGAGTACTTTTAGCGGGGAGTGTTCTCCTAAGATAACTCCAAGACTTCAAGTTTTAAGCCTCTTTCATTTGACGTGTTTCCGGATCGAATTTTTTGATGAAATTTTGTGAGCATGTTCCCAATAAAGAGTAGACTATGCCTACCAAATTTCAGTTTAAAATTCAATCGAGAAGTCATACAAATAAAATGCAGTTTTTTTCAATAATTTATTTAACTGACTTCTCGTTTGAATTTTAATCTGAAATTTGGTGGAAATAATCTACACTTCATGGGGAACAGTTCAACAAAATTTCATAAAAATATTCGACTCGGAAGCACCTCAAATGAAAGAGGCCTAAAACTTTTAAGTTTTAGGCCAACCTTAGGAGAACATTTTCCTACTTTTAGCTATCTATATTATTGCGCTTTGATACGGAGTACTTAGCTATGAAATGTAATAAATCAATATTATTTAAATTTATGATAAAAAGGGGAAAACTGTCAAATAAGACCCTTTACTTTTCAAAAAAATCAATTTATCCCCTCTACCTAAAATTCATTCAATCAAACCCTCAAACTTATTAAGCTTCAACTATCGGAATTTAAGATGGGAAACCCAAGTTAAATCCAGGGTTAAAAATCATCTAAATTGATTATATGCTTGTGTTGGGGAAGTTCTGGGCGACGGGAGCAACGATGGACATCTCGACGGTGAAGTTGGGTTACATCGTTGGTTTTTCAAGACAGGAAGCTGCAGAGTCGTAGGTTGGGAATTAAATCCAGAAGAAAACCCAGTTTCAGTCCAGGAGAAGAAGAAAATAACAGGGGAAGGAAAAGAAATAAAGTAAAAAAGAAAACAAAGGAAAGGAAAATCATGCCAGGAAGGAGAAGAGAACGTCTGAGGAAGAAAATTACAGGAAAAAAAAGAAGGAAACAAAAATGGAACGGGAGGGTGGAAGGAGAAGGGCAGAGGAGAACGGAAAGTAGAGAAAAACAAGGGGAGGGGGAGGGGGATGACCGGTTAACACGGTTCATTACAGGTTAAAAAAAGTTATTTGGCTTTTGGAAAAAGGGTCAAATAGACTCATGTACAATTGTAAAACCATCAACTAGACCCGTGCACTAAAAAAACATCGTATAAACCTATTTATTCTGAAAAATGATCAAATCAGCCCATTTACCTGGAGTTGACCTTTTATAACCGGTCATTTGCTCTTTTTGTGTTTTTTTAATTTACTTTTTCTTTATCTTTTTTCTTTCTCTATCTTCTTTGTCCGCTCCTTCCCACAGACTTCCTCGTTATCCTTTGGTCGCTTGTGTGAGGAGCTCCCAAGGTCCAAAACTATTGGTCGATCTAAATCTCAAATCGAAGACGTGAGAGCAGTCCAACGACGATATCCTTCAGATTCGTCCACATGGAAGCGGTGGCTACCTTCTCTTCTCGTTGTGCGGCAAGAGGGTCTGTTGTGCGTGCAGGGTCGCCGGAGAAGGGAAGACAAAGTTCTCCGCTCTCTGCTCTCCATCGGAATCGTTAATTTCTTCACTCACCCAGTAGTTTCGCGCAGGGACTATTGAACGGACTCTTTCACCCTCATCGCTCTGCCACGCCCCTTTAATAGGTTGTTGACTTCCAGTTTCAAGCTTTCTGTCCCAAATAAGTTGGTGAGGAAGACCACCGACTGGGAAATCCATTCTCGCCGCTCAAGCGATGATTTCATCTGCCTCTAAAATCTGATTATGTGTGTGTGTGTATATATATATATAATATCAATTTTTAAAATGTAATGATTAATTAGAAGTTCTTAGTTTTGGGGGACACCCATTTAACAGTCATTCTTTGCTTCGTAAACAAAACTGAAGCACGAAGAAGACGATAAAAATTTAATCGTTTTTTCTGTCCACCTGTGTTTCTTTGTTTTTATATACTTCGTATAAATAGAGAGTATATATATTAATTAAGAGCATATGTGTAGTGTATATATAAAATCTTAAGAGAGATTGAAGATGAAAGGTATAAAATTTGAGAAAGTGAGTTGCAACTAGAAGGTTTGGAATGGGATGAACGGATCACAGAGAAAGGAAAAGTAAAAAAGAAATAAAATAAAAATTTAATTTGTATAATTAGCAAAGTGACCGGCTAAAAATGGTCAATTTCAGGTAAACTGCCATTTTGATTGTTTTTTAAGAATACATAGGCTTATATGATGCATTTTTTAGTACATGGATTTAGATGATGGTTTTACAATAGTACATGGGTCTATTTGACCCTTTTTCTTTGGCTTTTTTAATGAGTTAGAGGATTTAATTGAACAGATATTCAGTTGGAGGGTCTAATTGATTTTTATGAAAAGTAGAGGGGCTTATTTGATAGTTTTCCCTAAAAAAAAATCTACGTGTCGGACAATATACTATTTGCACAGTCCATTGAACATTAGTTATATTCAGGGGCGTATCCAACGTGGGGGCAGGGAGGGCAGCTGCCCCACTCAACCCCCACCCAACCCATATATATATATATATATATATATATATATATATATATATATATATATATATATATATATATATATATATATATGTTTTAGTTCAAATAAGAACACGATCTTATGAGAGAAATGAGAACGAATCTGGACCGTTAGATGTGCTTTAAGTGAAATTTAGTGTGCATTAGATAGAACTGTAATGCGCATTAGGTGAAATTGAAATGTGCATCACAAAGGGTACGATAGAGTGACATTATGTGCATTTGAATTGTGCAATACGTGAAATTGAAATGTGCACTAGGTGAAGCTGAAATGTGCAGGATAAAAAGTACGATGTGATGTTATTTTTGTACTTTTTTTCGCACATATCAGTTTCATCTAATGCACACTTGAGTTTAAATTTTTATTTTGCACATTTTAATATCATTTAATGCACATTTCAGTTTCACCAAATGCATAATTTGGTTTCACATAATACAATCCAACGGTCCAGATTCGTTCTCATTTTTCTCCTAAGATATGTTCTTACCGGAACCGCTCCCTATATATATATATATATGTATGTATATATATATATATATACATATATATATGTATATATATATATATATATATATATATATATATATATATAGGGTTAAGATCGGATACAAAGTGTGTTTCCGGTACAAAATGCAAATTCATTTCATCCGTCCAAAATTACAAAATCAATGGTCACAAATATTTTGTCCTCTAAGATTCAGCCATAGGTGGGGGATATTTCCTATTTTATCTCAAGTACATGGATTAGGCAGTTACGTAGGAAAATTTTACTATCTTTCAAATTGATACACCGTAGGATCATTCAAGTGGATGGTCCGGATTTGTTTGCATTTTATAAATTATATATATATATATATCCAATATTTAATTTTATATGTATATTTGTCTCTGAAAGTAGATATTGTTCATATTAATAGTGAGTTTCTATTCAAAGGTGACACTGGTGCAACGGTACTCTATATACGTTTAAGGAAGTGTTTGCAAGTGCTTCTGCTTAAAAAAAGCACTTTTGGAGTGATTGGGAAAAAGTGATAAGAAGTAAAAGTTGATAGTGTTTGAGAAAAAAGTAATTTTGAAAAGTAAAAGTTGGTAGTGTTTGGTAAAATAAGTGCTTTTTGTGTAATAGAAAAGGGAAAAGCACTTTTCACACGCAAGCCGAGAAAAAGTAAAAATTGGTAGTGTTTGGTAAATAAGTGTTTTTTAAGCCAAAAGCTGAGAAGTGCTTTTTTTAAGCTATTGCAAACACTCCCTAAGTTAGCTGACTTTTTACGTCCACGATTCGAAATTGGGTGGGCTCAATTGTTTTTGGTTTCCCTTTTTTGAAGCCTTAAACAAATTTTAAATGGCTTAACATAAAATAACTTTTGTAATAAAGTTCTGTAAGCCATAGAAACATTTAGAAGCTGTTCCGTTCACCTGATCTGAATGTTTCTGATCTGAATTTTTTAAGTTCTGATCTGATCTGATCTGAATTTTTCTGATCTGATCTGATCTGATCTGAATCTTTCTGATCTAATCTGATCTGATCTGAATCTTTCTGATCTGATCTGAATCTTTCTGATCTGATCTGAATGTTGCTGAACTGATCTGAATGTTGCTGATCTGATCTGATCTGATCTGAATGTTTCTGATCTGATCTGAATGTTTCTGATCTGATCTGAATTCTTCTGATCTGAATCTTTCTGATCTGATTTGAATATTTCTATAATTGTAATTGTAATTACAATTATAATTATTAGATTTATAATTGTAATTAAAAATATAACTTAAATAAAATTACAATTATAATCATAATTATAAAAAATAATAATTAAAATTAAATTTAAAATTATAATAATTATACCAATTACACTAATTATAAATACAGATACAATTATAAATGTAATTATATTTTTAATTATGATTAATTTTATAATTACTATTATTGTAATTATAATTATAATATTTATTTCTATAGTCATAATTATGTCTATAATTACTAATTTAAATATATAATTACTCCGAAGTAATAATAATTACAACAATAACAACAAGAACAACAATCATATTAATAATAATGATGATTATAATTATAATTACATTGTAAATCATAATTATAATTATAATTATAAATATATTATATTATATTATATTATATTATATTATATTATATTATATTATATTATATTATATTATATTATATTATATTATATTATATTATATTATATTATATTATATTATTATAATATAATATAATATAATATAATATAATATAATATAATATAATATAATATAATATAATATAATATAATATAATATAATATAATATAATATAATATAATATAATATAATATAATATAATATAATATAATATAATATAATATAATATAATATAATATAATATAATATATTATTATTAATATTATTATTAATTTAATATATTAATATTATTAACAATAACTATAATATAATAATCATAATTAATATAATAATAAAAGTGATAAATCATGTTTGAATTTTTTGACCTGATCTGATCTGATCTGAATGTTGCTGATCTGATCTGAATCTTTCTGATCTGATCTGAATGTTTCTGATCTGATCTGATCTGATCTGAATATTTCTGATCTGATCTGATCTGATCTGAATCTTTCTGATCTGATCTGATCTGATCTGAATAAAATAAGATTAAGGAATAAGTAATAAGATTAAGACGAACGGAACAACTTCTTATACTAACAAATTTTAAATGGCTTAACATAAAAAAATAACTTTTGTAATAAAGTTTTGTAAGCCATAGAAACATTTATACTATATAAAAAATTCATTATAATAAAAAAATTCATTCCACACATGATTCATAAAGTTTAAATTTATAAACTGCTTTTTTTATATACTTGTGAATTTGTATCTTAAGTTAATTCGAAGTACATGCTACATATATGATTTTTTTAGAAGTACATATCCTTCCCTTATAAGTCTGGTGCTTAAAATTTATTTCAAACAAATTCAAATTTATTTAATATATATGAATTTTTAAGTATGATATCATAAAGTTTTTGCCCAGTGAATATTTTGTTATTTAAAAGTAACTTTACAATAGTTTTTTATTTGGTGACTTCGTAACGTGTGTGTGATGATATATAAGGCAAGCTCGCCCCCACTCATGAGTTTTTCTGGGTACGCCACTGGTTATATTTGAATAGCATTATTGTTTGAAACATTTACGCATAATTGTGGTACTGTTTTTTGTTTTATTTAAGAGTTAGAGATATCCTAACATAGAGTAGAACAATGCCAATAGCTAAGTCGCTAATATATTCTTTATGCATTTGGTCATTTATAGCGCATGAGTAGGTGGTACATGACTAATGAATTTACTTACATTTTGGTATCTCTATTTTTGGGTAATTTTGAATTTGGGTGATACTTTTTGGGTGATACTTTGACTTTGCACTCCATTTCTAAACTTTTAGACTTTGTCCTCTATTCATACAACATTTTGTGAAATAGTCCTGAATAGTGTGCAAAGGCAAAGACATTTTACATAAAATAGGGTGCAAAGTTTAAGTTTTGAAAATGGGGTGCAAATCCAATATCACCCAAAAAAACAGGGTGAAAGTCAAAATATCCCCTATTTTTTCATGTTAAGTTAACTTTTCGTTATTGTATTCGAGAAATAAGTCATTATAAAGAAATTAATGTTATACTCCGTAGTTTCTAACATTTCGTTCGTTTTTCTACTTTATTATACATTATATTATCGTCACTTTTCATTACTATCAAACCGGTTCATCATATTTCGTACGTATTATATACAAATAGATCAGATACGAACCTTGAATACGGTGAGAGTGGTATCGTATTGAGTTCCTTCAGATTTTGAGATGTCGGGATAAGCATAATCAAGGGGAATGGTGTTTGAGAATATAACAAATCCTGGACAGTGATTGATATAGCATCCTGTTTTTCCATAGTTGTCACTCTGCGTTCGTTCAATATTTTATTATCGATGCATAAAATTAGTAATTACTTCGTATTAATAAATATTACTTGCGGATGTATAGGAAAATGTATGACTAAATATAATGGTACTGAAACCCTGAATCCCCAATGTACTCAGCTCTTCTTTCGGTCTCGCGGTCTGCTCATCTCTTTCCTCCAGAGGTGCAGCCGTCGCCATGGTGCTATTTCCGTCTTCACTTCCATCACCACCGGCTCCATCGCCGCATCCATCACCGAATCCATCTCCGTTGTCTCGGTCACCCCATCCATCGCCTCCATCTCTGCCATTACCTCCGCCTCTGCCATCGCCTCCGCCTCCCACAGATCAACTTCTTCATCTAAAGGTTGGGATGTAAGGCGACGGAAGGGCACGTGGACAGAAGTATTGCACGATTTGGATGAAGGTGGTTGCAGTGGTAAGCGGAAAGAGGAGGCCGTCGATAGGATCTGGGGTTGGGATGAGCGGCCATGGTAGCGGCGGCGGTCACTGCATAGAGGTTTTTGTTTGACAGATGTTGGTGGATGCACCGAATCTGTTGCGGCAGTGGTGGCCGACAGGGCATATGGGTTTGTTGGGGCCGACGTCTTTTTTGGCGGTGGTTGACGGCGGTGATGTTCTGTCCATGGCGGTGGTTGATTGTGATGGTGAAGGCAGTCAACGATGGTGTGTGGCGGTGGTTGGTTGTGATGGAGAAGGCAGTCAACGGTGGTGTATGGTGTCACCGGTGTACAACGCTTCGGGTCAATATGTCTGGTCCATGGCCATAGGTCACTGGGGTTGGGTCATTGGCCGTTGGGTCACTGGACGCCGGGTCACTGGGGTTGGGGTCATTGGCCGTTGGGTCACTGGACGCTGGGTCACTGGGTGGTGGGGCCACCGAGGATGATGAGGTCACTGGTCGGCTGGCCGGTAGGTCACTGTGGCTTTGGCCGGCAGGTCACTGTGGTTGGCGGCAAGGTTGGTCACTGTGGTTGGCGGCAAGGTTGGTCACTGTGGTTGGCGGCAAGGTTGGTCACTGTGACCTACACCATTTCAATTTTTGGTCACTGGACAAAAGTCACTGCACATTTGGTCACTGTGATGCGGGTCATTGGTGGGACGTATTAATTTTTGGTCACTGGATGAATTTTGTAACTATGTCATTGGTAACTATAACATTGGTCACTGCACATTTGGTCACTGTGATGGATTACTGTAGCAGGCCAGTGAGTTTGGGCTTACGGCCTGTTTGGATTGAGTGTTGAAGAGTGTTAGCAATGGAAGTGTTAGTAAGTGTTGATGTTAACACTTGTTTGGTAGAAAAAACCAGAGATGTTAAGAAGTGTTAGTAATGGTCAGGAAGTGTTAATAATAACCTTCCCAACACCTCAATTGTCCATTTTTTTAACACCCCGATTTGGAGTGTTTTGAGGTGTTGGACAATTATTACCCTTCTCATTTGTCCGAAAAACATAAAATGCTTCGACATTTCACTTCGAATGTCTTTCCCACGGGTCTGATGGTTTGTTTTTTCATCTCTTCTCTTTACTCTTTCTTTACTCTTTCTTTAACACTTCCATTATTAACACTTCATTCATTTGACTCTCCCAAACAAGGTAAAATTATGTCTAACACATACACTTCCCTTCCCTTCCGAGCCCTTACTAACACTTACTAACACTTCCATTACTAATACTTCCAAACACTCCATCCAAACAGGCCCTTAGTAACGGGTGTAACAGTCCTTTAAGTATTATTTGAGGACAAGAGTTGAGACCAATAAATAAAAGCAAAAACAGCGCTTACAGTCCATCTGCTAAATAATCTTGTACGTGAATCATGATATAATGCCGGGTATACCTAAAAACATGCAAAAATGATGAATTAATATAATTAATTAACACAAGCTACTTGATCAAGGCATTAGTTTGTACGTAGTACTACGTAGTGAAGAACATACGGCGTAGGAGTTGAACAATGTCTATGTAATACTACGTCAGATTACTGGGTATTAATTAATTAATTAACTTACGATCCATCCCACTCGTATTTGATTATCTCCTCTTTCTATATAAATAGAAGCCGAACTGTATTGGTTATCTCCCTTCAGTTTGGGATTCCAGATAGTCATTGTAGCTTTAGCACCGCTAAATCCCCCGGATGGAGCATTTGTAACCGTAAGTCCTGTAAACTGCGTGGATTCATGCATATATGTAAAAGTACAAAATGCTCGATATAGGATTAAAACGTATACGGAATTCACAAATAGAATGTTATATCAATCACTGTTCAGACTTCACTCTTGGACCTACTACACATATTCCTTGGGCCACCACCGGGCCAGGGTGACCTCAATTTGGTCACACACACATATATGAACATATATGTATATTTGTATAATTTCAAAACCATTATGTGTACTTATAGATTAAGCGGGGCGGGTCAAGACGGGTTGGCCGGCAACACGGGACAATATTAAATACCCGGACCTGACCCGTTAACTCGTTAAGTAGGTGTGGCGAGGGAGGACTCACTCCATTTGCAAGACGCCCCTAAATCCTAATGTCCTTGCGGGCTGGTTATTTACATGCCTCTTTAATTACTCCATATGATAGTGTGATTGGAGGTAATTTATAGAATGTAAGATTGTTTCTAAACAAATTATGCCACAATAATTTAAAGGTAAGGACTATAAAAAATCTGATTAAGTAATGGTATAAAGAGGATACAAAATCTCGAAATAAGAGTAAAAACGTTTGAAAATTTCAAAATAGGAATGTCAAATTTGGAAACTATTTTATAATTCGATATAATCGAAATAGGATTATCATGTTTTTAGTTCTATTTAGAGTAATTGCTTACTCAGACTATTCTTATAAAAATGCAATTAGACTTACATCAACACGGCCTGGCGGTGCATATTCTGTGAAATTTCTTCTACCTAAGTTATAATCATGTGGATGAACCTTTCGCCGTGATTTCCGGTGTTTAGACTTGAGCATTCGGCGAATAGGAACACTTCCAATGGGACACCCCTTTTTATTCAACCAAAGTAATTCTGCCGCCGACGTCGATCGTGGATTTTGATCCATCTCCTCCGATCGTCGTCTTTGATCCTTTCTCCTCTTCACTTCCTGCGAGATTACCATCTGCACGACCAAATTTGATCTCTTTGCTTTTAGATTTGAAAAAAAAAATGTACATTTACACTTTGCAGTGGTAAATAATTATAGCACACATACCCGAATTCTATCAGTTGCCATTGCTGGATGGTGCATACCCGGTTGTTTATATATGTCCACACAATCATAAACGTCACCATGGATGGTCTTCACTCAACACGGAGTATACAATAAGTAGCATACTTTAGAATTGGAACATATGCACACATGACACACCTAGTTTTATTTCTAAAAGTAGGACACAATACCTTGAAATCAAAGTTCTAAGCTATTAAAATTTTACCCCCCCCATATAAGCCACTCCACCGTCCGCAATCAATAGCAGTTAGCACCGTTGTGGGCGAAAAAAAATATTAGAAAGTCATTGAACCCAACTTAATATTTGACGGTTTGATTCTACATTTATGGTACATTTATAAGACATAATGTTGGCTATTAGGATGTTTTTTTGTATTAATACAATAATAAATTAGAGCTTTCCAGACTATGACGGGTTTAAAACTGTTGGACCAAATCGTATTTAAGACAATGAGGCATAACCTATGAAGCACGGATACTTCGCTAGGGTAGCGTATCGGCGTATCCGATACGTTCCCGTGTCCGATACTCTAGGATACCCGTACCGTACGTTCCCGGGCCGTATCTGCAATTTTTAAAAGTTTCCATTTTTTTTTGTAATTTTTTGAAAGTTTCCGATACTCGTATCCTGACGGATACTCGTATCAACTTTTTAAAAAAAAAATCCCAAAATTTACTTAATAAAATTCTAAACAAAAATGAAAATTTAAAACTACATTTTACTTGGTAATCAAATAATGGGCCTATATGACTATATCCGAATTAAGTCATTAACTGATACTCCGAATTGGATACTTGCACTTTTAATTTCAAGATTGTAGTTGTTTGACTTATTTCTCATTTTAAATTAATGACTTATTGACTATATTTATATTTCGAGATGACTAGTGTATATGAGAAATATTATGAATTTATTACTAAGTATCTTGAAAAAGGAAAATTCTTCAATGCAATGAATGGGTAGACAACATAGGATATTATATGTGTGTGTGTGTGTGTGTGTGTATATATATTCAAAAAGAAAATCTATTTTTAATATTTATAAATAGACCCCTATAACTTTTAATATTTGTAAATACACCCCCATAACTTTTAATATTTATAAATATGGCCCCACATCCGTATCCTACTTTTTTTGGTTTTGACGTATCCCCGTACCCGTTTCCGCGTTTCCGCGTTTCCGCGTACCGGTATCAGTGCTAGCATAACATTATTATAATTTATTGACTATATGAATTAGTACTGCAAGGTAATATCATGGGGGAGAATGAAGTGTGAGGTTGTTTAATGAAAATAGCAATGAACAGACGGTCCTATTCTTACTTTTCCGCTGGACAACTCGGGAGTGATGAACGGACAAGAAGAATTAATTTCTACTCTTTTAAATAACACTAGCACCCAATGTGAAGACACAAGCATTCTTACTCACTAATACTATGAAATACACACTCTTATACAATGATACTCTTCGGCCTACTCAAGAAAGTGGTTCAACTAGCTGATGACCGACTCACTCTCCCTTATGGGAACTCCCAAATTTAATACTCAATGTAATGAGTTTGATATCAGTTTAACCAGGCTCCCAAGTCCCTCACCCGACCAATACATAATTATCACCAATATAAATAAACGTCTTATCATTTCTTTAATTCTAGCACGCTACATTAATTATTTGTTTATATTCATATATACAAATCATATTTACAGGTTACGAGAATTAACTTAAACAGTCTTCCAAAAAAAGAATTAACACTCATACAAGTTACATATGGAAAAAGTCACTACCCATTAGAAAACGAGGTTGGCTAATTGAAAAGGTCAAGCGTACAAATTATAGTCACATGTCGATCACATCTATCCTATCATGACTTTTTAAGTCAACGATTGGATTAGTATAATATTATACTTCCTCCGTCCCATTTTATATGTCTTAGTTTGACTTCACACGATTATTAATGAAGTGATTGAAAAAGTAAAAATTTGTGGTTAAGATTTGAGTATAATAAAGTGAAATGGTGTAGGCCACATATTTATTTCATGCCAAAAAAGGAAAGAAGACATTTATTTTGGGACAATCCGAAAAGGAAAGTAGGACAGGTAAAATGGGACGGAGGGAGTAGAATTCATAAAGTTTAGTTTTTGAAAAGTATTTTTAACAAAGAACATGTTTATATCATTTCTATATTATAAATAACTTCTTATAAAAGTATATAATTGGTCAAAATCGAACATGATTGACCAAAAAAATCAAAGATAAAAAGTTTTAAGAGACATAGTGGCTGAGTGGGTATTTAAATTTGAGTTTCAATATAAATAGTAGTACCTTCGTCCCACTAGCATTATAACATGAGGAAGTGATGTTGTTATTGAGAAAAATGAATTTATGTTATATTAATATGGAATTGATAAAGAAAGTATAAAGTAAAAATTATTGAAATAATTACATAAATATGATCAAAATAAAGATGGTTTACAAAAATATGACTAGTTACTAGAATAGTAATGAAATATTAGTAATTCATGTTACCACAAGTCCACAACATTATGTTGTAGTAATGAATATTGATATTTATGTAAATAAGTTTTATTTTAGTAATATTTTTCTAAAAAACTCAAAATTATTTAGATCAAAACAAACTTTATCAAATTTCGAATGACACAATCTTAACGACGTGGACTGAAAAACAAAGATGGGACAATGTATAGTAGCGGGACGGAAGGAGTAATATCTATGTAATTTCACAAATAATATGGACTAAATCATTTGTTTGTTGCATATGTGATCTTATTATAAAGGCATTTAATGTTCACATGCATTTTATGCATTTTGTAACAATCAATGTTTAAGTACACTATAATTAACAGTTGTGAGTTATAAATAAAACATATGAAAAATGAGGATAAAGACAATATATATTAATTTGGTTGTTACATATGTTATCTTATTATAAAAGCATTTAATATTCACATTTCGTTTTTTCAATGAATGGATTACTTCATAACATATTTAATGAAAAACTATTTAATAACTCAATAATTAGTACAATCAATAATTTAGTACAACTATAATTAATAATTGTGAATTACAACTATAATGAAAATGATGACGATTTTTCTAAATTCGTGTCTATTAGCTTTGTACTAGTTAAATATTGATTTCGTTTTGATGTAGTATATTAATGGTAATTTCATATGTATAATATATGACCATTAACATGATAAACTTTTGTGTATGAAATTATTCTCTAAACTTCGATTGTATATGAAATTATGATGCATTAAAACTTACAATTAGAATAAAATAATGAATAACATTTTAAATTAATCTTTATGACCTTCACTAAATTATTGAGCTTTTATATTATTTTTGGGGCTGGACTAAACACCAATTTTATATAAACCTATATTTATAATTTTAAAAATTGGGGTGGGGCTGGATTGGAGCCAACCTTGTACCTTAAATTTTAACTCCTCGTTTTATACTTCATTATACTTATCTATGTATCTGTAATCTCTCTATATATGTAATCTTTATAGCACATATGGTGAGATGGGTATAGAAAGATATTATAGAATACATATTTTTACTGCTGGATGTATGGTAAATTTTTAGAAACTTAAAAAAACTACGAATGTCAAGCTTAGACACATTTTATTATTTATAAAAAGTGAAATGATTTTTCATAATAATTACATGTACCAATATTGAATACTCGAGAGAATTAAACAATAATGTATAGAATAATCATCATCATCAATATCACTAAATAATACGAGTACGTAATATAATATTACATTATAATATGATACTAATTCCTATCATCTTCATTTAATAAGATAAATTGTGGACAAAATAATGTTTATGGGGTAAATTATATTCCCTCTGTCTCACAAAACTTGACCAAATTTGACATGCACATAAATACTACCCCACAAGTAATTCAATAAAAATTGTTTGAATGGGATTTGTGCAGAGAAGCAAAAAACTAATTTAACCAAATATTTATTACTTTAAATGAAAATGATAAAGTTTTTTGGGATGACTAAATTAAAAAGGAACTTTTGGCCAAGTTTTACTCTAATGTAATTTTATATCATGTTTAATTTTTATCCAATAAGTATGCTTAGAACACTTTTGATGAAATGATTTAATTTTAAAATTAAATTGATTTCATGTGTTATCTGTGCAACCCACAGATTGAAAAATCTCCTCGTGTAGTGTTGCTTATCTTGTATCACATGTCTTTGATGTCTGATGGACAATCTACCCGGGGGGTATCTTATCCGAAGGGTTATTGCGGAAATAACTAGAGAGAAGTCAGAGCAAATAGGAGGAGAGAGAGTCGATTTTATTAAATGAACTCAGCGTGTGGAGTTGAGATGTAGGTTGTGCCGATTACAAGGAGGAATGGGCTGCTATTTATAGCAGCAATAAATGCGATGAGAGGACACGTGTCAGTAATCCAACGGCCGAAGGGTCACATCAGCCTAGTGGCACCGGCAGTGGTACGTCAACCGCATTGAATGCGGTTGGCGGATGCGACGTGGCATTAAATGCGGTGGTTGGCTGTCTCTAAAAGGAATCTTCGATGATTGAGCTAGTTCAGCCGTAGGCTTCTTGCGTAGCCGAGGGCTCCTTGTGTAGCCGAAGGCTTGGCTGAGCCGAGGGATTCCCCTGGTGCCGAGGGCTCCATAGTGCCGAGGGCTCCCGTTTTCTGTCAATTTCTCCCAGTAGCTTTGCATGGTCGAATATGGCGGTTCTGTGAGTTCTGGAGCCTTCGGCCAAGGTGGCCGAAGGCATCCCTGTGTGTACCGTGGCCTTCTTGACACTTGGGCCGCCGAATCTTGGGCCTCCTGAGCTCCTTGAGCTTGTTGGGCTTGTGATAGATTAGTAGGAGTCTTTGGGCCGGGGGTTCCTGGGCCATATACTCCATCAGGAGTCCCTCACTCCTTTTGCCGAAAGGTACTTGAGGGAAAAGGAGTAGATGTGATGATTCTTCCGGGGGCTTCATCGCCTGTCTGGGTGCCTTTGTTTGAGAACTTGTCTTCTGTTGATTGCCGAAGGCTTCCCTCAGTCCCCCACATGTCGAGGGTTTTCTGAGGGAAGGTACTCGTAACCTTCGTATGTTCGCCGGGGGCTCCCCCTCAGTCCCTCACACGTCGAGGGTTTTCTGAGGAAAGCATAGATGTCTTGTCTGCATGTATTGTGATGTTTGCCCGGAGGCCGTATGCGTCAATTGTAAATTGTTGCATGAAGAATTTTTGGTTGTGTATGATCCCCGAGGGGTGTATCCCAGTCTCCCACTCCTTTAGGCCGAAGGCAAGTTCGGGCTGAAGGAGTTATGATGAGTTGATGATCCCCCGAGGGGTGATAACATTGACAAGCCGAAGGCTTATACTGCTACGGGCTCGAAGGCGTTTGGTGGAATTATTTGTCCGTAGGGTGTGGCGGGTGATAGCCGGAGGCTATCATTCGAAGGCACTTCAGTGGTGCCGGAATATAGTCGTTGTAATATAGCCGTTGGAGGAGGGGTTGACGTGGCGTGCCCTTGTTGGTTGGGGGTGGGCGGCTGTCATTCATTGGCTGAGGCGGCGGCCCGTAATGATGGGCTTTTCAAATCGAGGCCCAGTTCTCGAGGCCCACTGCCTATAAATACCCTGAGCCTGAGCTCATTTGTTCTTGTGCGAACTTAGAGAGATAGCGGAGCTCTGCCATTTTTTCTAGAGAGAGAAACTTCAGCCTTCGATCAAACGCAATCTTTGAGGTCAGTTCTTCCTCCTTTCCCACACACTTAGCGTATTTCGCTTCACTGGCCTTAAATCTAGTGTTAGGGAATACTTAGGAGCCTCCAGTTAGTTCTCTTATATTCCCCCTTTTCCCTGTTCTCGAGAAGATGTCTTCGGCCAGCGACTCCCAAGATATTTCCGTGGAGGCCCCGGTTCAATCGGAGAGCTATTCCGAGGTTGAGTCCTCAAGTGACCACTCGTCGGTCAACAATGACGCTGCCATCGCCGAGGAAGTCCAAGACACCCTTCGGACTGAGCTGGAGGCGGAGGACTTCGAGCAGGTGGCGGAAGACGAAGAGCTTGCCCTCGCGCTCCAAGTCGCCGAGGAAGAGGAGGAGAAAGAGCGGCAGAGGGTGACCGTCGCCGCACTCCCCCTTCGTGGCGCCGGCGAAGCCAGTAGCTCCCGGCCCCTAGATCCGGAACCGATAAGCGTCGCTCCCGGGAAAAAGAAGAAGAAGACCCAGGCGGCCACGAAGAAGAAGCAGGCTGCTATCGACGCAGGTCAGCCGGTGGGAATACCCGAGGGCCACTCGTATCTCAACACCGCCGCCCTCGAATTGAAAACGAAGGCCGGGGAGGCGGAGTATCTCAAAATTCAACTGTTGGTCGGTCCGTCGGCACAGGTGGTGGTTCCGGGGCCTGACGATGTGTTATTGCATCCTCCAGAGGGCTGTTACGCGGTGCACATCCTTTCGGTGGAGTTGGGTCTCCGATTCCCGCTCCACCCTTTTCTGGTGGAATACCTTCGGTTCGTGGGTCTCGCTCCTTGCCAACTGACCCCGAATAGTCATTCGTACATCACAGGGTTTCTCTCGCAATGTCGAAGCCGAGGGGTTGTCCCCACATTGGATCAATTTTTTCTATCCTTCAACCTGTGTCGAGGGGGTGCTGCCAATAGCGAGGGCTTCGCCAACCTCCAACAAGTGCCGGCGTGGAGGCTTTTCTCGGAGGTGCCTTCGTCTCACAAGGGATGGAGGGACCGTTTCTGTTACCTCAGGATGCCGGGAGTGACCTTCCCGAGGCCTCTTCGCAACCATTTTCAGAGACACCCTAAGGTGGGCAACGCTGCCCTTGAGGCCAATGGGAGAAAGCTGAAGGCGAAGCCGCCTGGTTCAGAAAAGCTGACGACTATCAAGGCCGCCACGCTTCCGGAGGAGCTGCTCAAATTAGAATTTCAGCGGTATCGCTTGCCGGGGGAGAAGGATGAGAGATATCCTCTCCTTGACCGGGGCTCTCCGGGTATCAGAGGTGGTTGCCGAGGGCCCTTGTTGTTTAGTGCTTAGAGACGTAAGTCTTTGATTTGCTTTTGATTCTAACTCCTTCTTGTTCTTTTGCAGGCGATTTCATGGATCCGAAAGCTTTCTCTAAGCTGTCCCGGCAACTGGCCAAGGATAAGAAGAAGAAGGAGGAGAGGCCTCCGACGCAACCGCAGGTGGACGCCCTTTTGAAGAAGCAGGAGACCCCTGAGGGCCAAGGCCCCCCGAAGGGGACTGCAATCGCTGGTGCCGGTACTGATGCCGGAGGCTCCAAGGAGGGGGAGCTCAAGCGGAAAAAACGCCGGGAAGGGCGTCAAGCCTCCGGAAAGGAAGAAATCGAAGGGGGACGCTGAGCCAAAGGATACCCCCCTGGTGATCATTGACGATCCCCCCGCCGGCCAACCGTCAGCCTCTGCTCCCCTGGAGGATCTTGTCGAGGGGGCCTGGCCCCTTGAGACTGTACACTTCCCAATCAAAAAGGGAACAGCCATCATGCATGGCACCCTCGACCCGAGGGAGTTCTTGAAGGGTGCCACTCCCTCGGTAGATCGGTCCACCCTCAGCCGGTTTGGGGATGAAGCCCTCGAACTCAAGGCTCTCCAAGCTTCGGCCACCGTAAGTGTTTAGATTTTTTGCGCCCTTAATCCCTCTTTTCTTTTCTTTCCTTTGAACAATCTGATATTGAGTGCCTCCTTATATGTTTGCAGGCGAGCCTGGCCTTCGGGGAACTGGTTCGTAGGGCGGAGCAGCATCGCCTTGAGAGGGCTAAATCCGCCGAGGTGACGAGGAAGCTGGTGGCCAACAATACTGAGGCCATTCGGCAGCTGGCGAATTTGGAGGAGGCCCTCCGGCAGGCGGAGAAGAAACTGGAGGCAGCCAAGGAGGAAGCCCGGGCCGAGGGGAAAGCTGAAGCCGAGAGGGCCGCTGCTGAGTCCGCTAGGATAGCCGCCGAGAAGGCTGAGGAGGCTAAAGCGGAAGCTATCTCTAAGGCCAGGGAGGAGGCGGTGGCGGCTTTTATTGCCGACGGCTGGAAGGCCGAAGAGCAGAAGCAGTGGGTGGCCTCAGTGGTGGAGGCTTCTGCCGATGGCTGGGTGAAGGGGTCCGGGGCCATGTGGTTGGCGCTGAAAGGCAAAAGTTTCTTCGAAGGCGGACAGTACTTCACTCAAGCCCTGATTTATCGCAAGTTGGCCCGGCACCATGGGGTGGACCCGAAAGAGTTCGACCCGGCCCCGTTTGGTCTTCCCCCTCTGCTTCCTGACCTCCAAACCCCCATGCCCGAAGGCGAGGAGAGGCCTTTGCTCGAGGACTCAGAGATGGACAAGCTGGCCTCGGATGATGAGGAAGAAGCTGAGGATGATGCAGCCTCGAAACTGAAGGATGACGTCACCGGGGGGGCCAGGCTTGAGATTTTACTTGCCATATTTTGATGTAATAGTTGTAGGCCTCGGCCTCGGCCTTATTTGTAAACAAACATCCTTTGTTAACACTGTTTTTTTTTTTTAATGAATGCAATATGCCTCCGGGCTTCTTATATGAATGAATGTGCCTCCATGTTTTGTCTGCCTTCGTTCCTTTTCCTTATGAATGAATGCCTTTCGTCCTTTTTGCGCTTGTGTTTCAATTTGCTGCCTCCGTGTATGAATGTATGCTTTTGTTTCCTTCCGTATGTTTGGCAGAGGGCAAAACTTTGTGGACTTAGAATATTTTCTAAGTAGAACCTGGCCACAGCCTTCGGCTGCACTGTAGATTCGCCGGGGCTCATCATTGTGGACTTAGAAAATATTCTAAGTAAAAACTAGTTGCATTGCAGGCCCTCATTATAGTAGCGTGACTCTCGGCCGGGGGCCGTCGGCCATGAGTCTGTAGGTGAAGAATAGCCCTACCGAAGGGTCCACATTTGTGGACTTAGTCATTTTCTCACCAACTTTCAACTGGTGTTGTAACGAATCCTTCGAGTGTGGGAACTGCCTGAGCCCCCGGTGCATATGTTTGCCGAGGGGTTCGAAATTATGGACTTAGTGAAATTGTGAGACTTTGTCTTCAACAGATCTAGTGAGTAGCCTCCGGTTCGTGTAGATAATAGATTCGGCTTGCCTTAGAATTTTGTGTATCCTTCGGTATGTAACGTGTCGTCTTTGATTCGAGCCAAATTTAGGTGAAGCTTTGATAGTAAGCCATCTTCTTATGCCTTTGGTGGAGTTCCTGTACTCCAAAGTTTTACGCAGTGAAGCCTTCGGCCTTGTGGTCGGATGACTTGTTGTTTGCCAGATTTTCTTGTGAATCTGTAGGAGCCTTCGGGAATGTATATCCGAAGTGTTGAGCCTCCGGGGAGAATAGTATCCGGGGAGTTCCTTCCCTCCTACACCTTTTTTTTTTTTTTTTTTTTTTTTTTTTTTTTAGATCGTGTAGGAGAGGCGTCTAGAAACTTGGTTTCTAGGAAAGGCTTGGCCTATATGGGAGGCAACGGAATAAACCGTTGGCTCCCCCTTCGGGAATGACCTTCCGATATCCCGAAGGGTTTGAGGGTCGTTTCCTCGGCCCGAGACATCGTCTGTTGCCTGCTTCCCCTTGGGGGATAGCACGGAAAGCGCCTCGGTTTTGAAAGTCATCCCCTCAGCCCGAGACATGGTCTGTTGCCTGCTTCCCCTTGGGGGATAGCGCGGGGAGCGTTTCGTTTGTGGAAGTCGAATCCTGGGCCCGGGACATGGTCCGTGGCCTGCCTCCCCTTGGGGGATGGCGCGGAAAGCGTTCCTGGGAAGGGTTTTATTCGTGTGTGGAACACAAATAGCCGGGGGCACTTGGTACCAGCCGGAGCCGAGGGGTGTTGTACCCCCCGTTTTTTTTTTTTTTTTTTTTTTTTTTTTTTTGTAGGAAAAAGTTTTTGAAAACACTTGGTGTCTTCAAAGAGTGATGGGGGTGACCCATACACTTGGTACTTGGTACCTAAACTGTTGTTCCTCCTCATAAGAGGGAGTGGCCTCGGGCCTTTTATGGTGAAGAGATGAGGGCTTGGCCACTCATGTGTAGGAGAGAAGGGGGGGCCTTGGGCCACTTGTGTAATATGTAGGTGATAAAGGCTTGGCCTTTTGATTATTCTTCAAGAACAGATGGGGCCTTGGGCCATTGATATTTACACTCGTTGAGGATGAGGGCTTGGCCGCTCATTGATAAAACTTGACTAGGTGGTGCACATTCCAATGTCTAGGAATCTCTGTCCCATTAGGACGTTTTAATTTGTATGTCCCTGGTTTGATGATGGCCGAGATGATGTAGGGGCCCTCAAACTTAGGTGCCATCTTGCCGCCTTCGGTGGGTAGACTGGCCTCCCTTCGTCGGAGGACGTAGTCTCCCACCTGGAATTCCCGGGAGCGGACCTTGGCGTCGATGTATCCTTTGACTTGTCTCCTATAGTTTTCGGCCCTGAGAAAAGCTTGCTCTCGGCGTTCTGAGATGAGATGAAGGTCGAGGGCCATGTTGGCTTCGTTTGCCTCGGGCTCATATTGCTCAACCCTTCGGGTGGGAAGAGTTACTTTTGTGGGAGCCTTAGCCTCAAAGCCATAGCATAGGGAGAAGGGGGTTTCGCCTGTTGCACGCCGAGGGGTGGTGCGGTAGGCCCATAAGATGTTGTGGAGCTCTTCTACCCAGCCTCCCCCTTCGGCTTCCAGCTTCTTCTTCAACCCTTCGAGGAGGGTGCGGTTGGCATTTTCTACTTGTCCGTTGCCCTGAGGGTAGGCAACGGAAGAGAATGTGTGCTTGATGCCCCAAGCTTCAAGGAGGGCACAGAAGGGGGCTGCTTCGAATTGAGTCCCGTTGTCGGAGATGATTTGTTGGGGGACGCCAAACCTTGTGAGAATATTTTTGAGAACAAAGTGGCGGCACCGGGCTTCAGTGATGCTGGCGAGGGGTTCGGCCTCTACCCATTTGGTGAAGTAGTCAATGGCCACAATGATATACCTGTTGTTGGAGGTACCCCTCGGCAGAGGGCCTACTAAGTCAATCCCCCATCTGGAGAAGGGTATAGCGGTACTGATGGGAGCATAGTTGACCGCTGGTCTGCCGGGGGCCTTCTGAAAGTGCTGGCAAGCGGTGCACCTTCGGGCTAGATCAGCACAATCTCTAGCCATCGTGGGCCAGAAGTAGCCCTGAACTATGAGCCTTCGGGACATGGAGAAGGGTCCCTGGTGTGCTGAGCAAGTGCCACTGTGCACTTCCTCCATGGCGACTTCGGCCTCATCTTGATGAAGGCACCGAAGGAGGGTGCCGTTGTAGGATCTCTTGTAAAGCCTCCCGTTTTCGATGGCGTAGCTGGGAGCCCTCAGTTTTGCTAACTTGGCGCGAGCTTCGTCTTGGGGCAGTTGCCCCGTGGTGATGAAGGCGATGATGTCGGAGATCCAATCCTCCGGCCTCAGGTTAATGTTCATGACGGGGCTCGCGTGGATGCTTGAGAGGCTGAGTTCCTCAATTCTTGCAATTTTGGAGAGGTGCTCGGGGGATTCATCCGAGAGCTTTGATAGAATATCGGCCTCGGAGTTTTGAGCCCTTGGTATTTGGGTGAGGGAATGTGCCTCAAATACCTTGAGCAACTCCTTAGCCGCTTCTTTGTATTGTTTCATCCTTCCTTCCTTGGCTTCGTATTCCCCGGAAATTTGACCCACGACAAGTTTCGAGTCACACTTAACGTGGACCATCTTGGCCTTCAGATTTGCTGCCAGCCGAAGGCCACAGAGGAGGGCTTCGTACTCGGCCTCGTTGTTGGAGACTTTGAAGGAGAATCGGATGGCGTAATAGGCGCGGAAGCCCTCGGGTGTGATGAGAACTACTCCCCCTCCGCATGCTTTGGTAGCCGAGGAGCCATCGGTATAGAGGGTCCACCACTCATCGAGGGGTGCCGAAGGCTCCTCATCCACCGCTGATCTTGCGGTGCATTCCGTTACGAAGTCTGCCAGGGCTTGGCCCTTGATGGCAGGCCTCGGACGGATATCTATGTTGTATTGGCTGAGGAAGATGGCCCATTTCACCATCCGAGAGGAGCTAGTGGGACTCCTCATGAGGGCGCCGAGGGGTTGATGAGTGAGCACTTGGACCGGATGAGCTTGAAAGTAGTGGCCAAGCTTCTTGACGGTCCAAACGATGGCTAGCACCGTCTTCTCGACGGGAGAATACCTGAGTTCGGCCTCCCGGAGGGTTTTGCTGACGTAGAAGATGGCGTGTTGGATGCCGTCTTCCTCTCGGATTAGTACTGAGCTGATTGCCGCAGGGCTAACACCGAGATACAAGTATAAGGTCTCCCCCACCTTCGGTTTGGAGAGCACCGGGGGAGAAGAGAGGTACTTCTTAAGTTCATCGAAGGCCTCCTGACACTCAGATGTCCATTGGAAGCCAGCTGTCTTCCTCATGATTTGGAAGAATGGGAGGGCCCTCTCGGCTGACTTAGAGAGGAATCGGTTGAGGGCCGCCAGGCGACCCGTCAACCGTTGAACTTCTTTGACGTTGCGCGGAGGCTCCATATTGATGATGGCCTGAATTTTCTCGGGGTTGGCCTCGATACCCCTTCGGCTTACCATATAGCCCAAGAATTTTCCACCTTGTACGCCGAAGGTGCATTTCTTTGGATTCAATCGGAGGTTGAATTTTTGCATGATGGCGAAGATTTCCTGGAGGTCCTCGGCGTGAGTGCCGGCCTTCTTGCTCTTGACAATCATATCGTCAACATAGGCCTCCATAGTGCGCCCCAAGACAGCTTGAAAGACCCTGGCCACCATTCGGGTGTAGGTGGCGCCTGAATTCTTGAGGCCGAAGGCCATCACGAGGTAGCAGAAGATGCCTTCGGGTGTCATGAAGGCAGTTTTTTCAGCGTCTTCTTCATGCATATAGATTTGATGATACCCGCGGAATGCGTCGAGGAAGGACATGATTTCGCATCCCGCGGTCTCATCCACCAGTTGATCAATGTTTGGCAGAGGGAAGGGGTCCATAGGGCACGCCTTATTCAGATCAGTGTAGTCCACGCACATGCGGAAGGTAGGAGGCTTCTGTGCAAGGACTACATTGGCTAACCAAGAGGGGTATTTTACCTCCTTGATATGTTTGATGGAGAGGAGCATGGCTACCTCCTTCTTCACGAACTCCCTTCTCTCGGCCGAGAGGGGTCTTCTCCGCTGTTGTACTGGTTTGGCCGAAGGGTCCACCGCTAGGCGGTGGGTGATGACCCTTCGGTCAATTCCCGGCATATCCTCCGGCCCCCATGCAAAAACAATGGAGTAGGCGCGGAGGGCTTTGGTGATGCCAGCCTTCAAGTCTTCGGGGAGCTTGGCTCCAATCTTCAGGACTCTCTCCGGCTTGGCCGGATCGAGTATCAAGTCTTCGGTCTCCTCGGCAGGCTCAGCTCTCGGCCTGCCTTCTTCTTCCTCCAAGGCCCTGGTGGTGATGGTGTCCACACGTAGTTCTGTTTTACTAACCTTCTTGGTAAGTTGAAGGTAGCAGGCCCTGGAGAGTTTTTGATTCCCCCTCGAGTAGCCGATGCCGGTGGGTGTGGGGAACTTGAGGCAGAGATGCCTCATAGAGATGACGGCTTCCAAATCCTCGAGGGCGGGCCGGCCGAGGATGATGTTGTGTGCGCAGTCGAGGTTGACGACGACGAACTCCACTTCGAGCTTGGCTCTATGGGATCCGTCGCCGAATTCGATCATGAGTGTGATGACGCCCTCGGCGTCTATGCTGTCCCCCGTAAATCCGGAGAGGGGGGTGTTGATGTGCCGAAGGGACCCCCTGTCGAGTCCCAATTCTTGAAAAGTGCTGAGATACATGACGTTGACCGAACTCCCCGTGTCGACGTAAGTCCGGTGGATGATGGCGTCGTTGATCTCAGTGCGGATGACGAGGGCATCCCTATGCGGCAGAGAACCCGAGGGGAGGTCCGCATCCGTGAAGAAGATGGGATCCGCCCTCGGCCTCTTAGTCGGGGGCATGTGATTAACTTCCCCAATGTAAAGGGACTGCGCCCATTTCTTCCTTTGGCTTGTTGAATCGCCCCCGGTGTTCCCGCCGTTGATCATGTGAATGTGGCGCTTGTATTGTTGATGGGAGCCTTCCCCCTCATCTTCGAGGCCCCCAATTTCTCGCTTCTTCCCCTGTGGGTTCCCCAAGGGGATGGTGTTGGGGTTTACCCACTTGTTTGCCTTCGGCGGAGGCCCTTGATGATGAAGGGGGCCCTGGGGAGGAGGGCCCCTGATAAACTGAGATAAGTGGCCCGCCTGTATCAGCCTCTCAATTGCGTTTTTCAGTTGGTGGCAGTCGTCGGTTTTGTGCCCATGGTGGCGGTGGAAGCGGCAATATGGCTCATCAGGGCCGATGGCATAGATCTCGAGGGGTGTACGGGAGTCTCGCTCAACGAGCCCCCGCTCTTCCGCATGATCAAGGATGACGCTGACGGGATGCGTCAAGGGAGTGCGTGGGTGCTCAAGGAGGACGGGTTGCGCCCATGCCTTCGGATTATTCTTATAACCGCCCCCGGTTCTGGCTTGGCCACCTCGGGGGCGATCGTTGTTTTGCGCTTCTCGGTTGACCGGGGGGGGAGGTCCTCCGGGCCGATTCCTGCCTTCATTCTTCTGGGAAGGATCCGTGTTGCGGCGGTCCTTCTCGATTTCCTCCGCTTCAGCGTATCGGTCCCCCCGCTGAAGGGCCTTTGTATAATCGCGGGGGGGATCAGTGATAAGGCTTCGAGAGAAGTTACCGTTGCGGAGGACGGTGTGGAAGAGGGCCATCAGCGTCCTGTCATCGGCGCCTTCGACCTCGAGGGAGGCCTGCCTCCAGCGTTCCAGGAAACTCCGAAGGGTTTCCTCCTTCTGTTGTCTCACGTTTAGGAGGTGGGAGAAGTGTTTCTTTGAGCGATGCCTCCCAGCAAATTGCGTAAGGAAGCGGTGGGCAAGTTCTTGCCAAGAATCAATGCTGCCTTCGGGCAACCGGTTGAACCACTCATACGCTGGTCCCTCCAAGGTGGAAAGGAACCAACGGCATAAGTATTCATCCGAGGCCCCCATCATCATCATGCTATTTTGATAGCGGCTATAATGCTCTTGGGGATCAGTCTTCCCCTCATACGGCTTGATGGGTTGCCCGCGATATTTGTGGGGGATTTTGGCTGCCAACACCCTTGGGGTGAAGGGCGTCCTAGTGCGGAGCTGAATGAGGGGCTCGCCTGAGCCTTCGGCAAGTTTACGTTTCATTTCCTCCACCTGTGCCCGGAGGTCAGCGTACTCCGGATCTGGCCTCGCTGTGGAAGCCGTCGGGGGTGCCTGGCGATTCTCCTCGAGTTGACGGAGGAGGGCTTCAATGATTTCGTCCTTGGGATCCTTCGGGGCAACCCCTTGGGAGTTGGCCCGGAAGGATTGCGCCTGATTGATCTGGTGCCTGGCGTCATCGGCATGGAGGAGGGCTTTGCCTTTGCTCCGTGGGGGAGGCACGCCCTCGGCGCCCGAAGCAGAGGCTCCACTCTCCTGGGGCCTGCTGAATGACTGTTTCCCGAGGCGGTCTTGGACCCCTCGGTGCCCGGGAGCTCCCCCAAGCCTCTCAAGTACAGAGGTTCGGGGTTTCTCTTTCATCATGGGGCGCTTGTCCCTGGATTGGGCCTCTTGGGAGGCGGTATCCTGTGCCATGACCCCCTCGGCATTGCCAATCCCCGGGGGAGGACTGTTGAACAAAGGAGGGAGTGGTGGTAGTTGGATAACATTCCCTCCAGCGTGGGGCTGAAGGGGCGCCTGGGAGGCGAGGGCTCCGGAATTGAGAGCCATGTTTTGAACAAAGGCCGCAAAGGCAGCCTGAAGATCGATGGCCGGGGCCGGAGGGGGAACTTGGTTCTCACTCCGATCCCTCCTTCGATTATCAAGGCCAATGCGGGCATCAGGGGCGTTCTTCTGTAGTTGCTGACGGAGGTCAGCAGTAGCCTGCTCCAACTCAAGGATGATACCACCCTCGGGTACTAAGAGCCTGTTGGAGGCCTCAGCCCCGTTGGTTTCGCCGGGGGCTATGTGGTTCTCCTCAAGGGTTTTGGACTGGGCACGGGTGGTTCTTCCCATTTTTGGTAAGTATTTCGTGTTTGGTAGAGGGGGAGGGTTTCTTACTTGATAGTTCAGACCTCTCAACGAGAGCACCAAATGATGGACAATCTACCCGGGGGGTATCTTATCCGAAGGGTTATTGCGGAAATAACTAGAGAGAAGTCAGAGCAAATAGGAGGAGAGAGAGTCGATTTTATTAAATGAACTCAGCGTGTGGAGTTGAGATGTAGGTTGTGCCGATTACAAGGAGGAATGGGCTGCTATTTATAGCAGCAATAAATGCGATGAGAGGACACGTGTCAGTAATCCAACGGCCGAAGGGTCACATCAGCCTAGTGGCACCGGCAGTGGTACGTCAACCGCATTGAATGCGGTTGGCGGATGCGACGTGGCATTAAATGCGGTGGTTGGCTGTCTCTAAAAGGAATCTTCGATGATTGAGCTAGTTCAGCCGTAGGCTTCTTGCGTAGCCGAGGGCTCCTTGTGTAGCCGAAGGCTTGGCTGAGCCGAGGGATTCCCCTGGTGCCGAGGGCTCCATAGTGCCGAGGGCTCCCGTTTTCTGTCAATTTCTCCCAGTAGCTTCGCATGGTCGAATATGGCGGTTCTGTGAGTTCTGGAGCCTTCGGCCAAGGTGGCCGAAGGCATCCCTGTGTGTACCGTGGCCTTCTTGACGCTTGGGCCGCCGAATCTTGGGCCTCCTGAGCTCCTTGAGCTTGTTGGGCTTGTGATAGATTAGTAGGAGTCTTTGGGCCGGGGGTTCCTGGGCCATATACTCCATCAATGTCCTTAATAAGTAGCTATATGCATTATTTAGTTTCTCTGTTGCACTTGTTCGCATTGACAATTTTTTTTTACTTATATACAAAAATGCCACCACATTTGGAATTTTGATCAAAGTTTGAAAAGTGCAATAGATCACCTTTAAAGTGCATCAAATTGGGAAAAGGGGATCGAATTGCAGTCTTCTCTTTGAAAGTGATTTTTGTTTGATACCAAACCTACTTCTCCTTTTGGTGTGTGTGTGGGCGCCCCGCATAGTGATGACATATATTTAATTAAGTTAGAACCATAAACAAATCCCATTTAAACCTCAAATGGGCGCCTCCATTTGAGGTGCTTCCACAGATTTTTTGTATGAAATTTTGGGAGCTTATTTTTAGGAAGTTTAGATTACGTCCACAAAATTTCACTTAAAAATTCAATCGAGAAGTCAAATAAATAAATTATTGAACAATTCTATACAAAGAATTTTTATTGGCGCAAAGTATTTCAATAATTTATTTCACTAACTTTCAACTTTGATTTTATGCTGAACTTTTGTAGATATTATCTACACTTTATTACACTTTATGAATAACATGCTATACATATATAAGGAAGGCCTGATGATTGAGAACATCTCTTTCCCTCTCTATATACATATATAATATGTGTGGTATGGAGGGACTTACCTTTATGGTTTTGATGATTGAACTGCGTTTGTATGTTCCTACTCCTTCCATGGGGTTATCAGGCGATGCAACATTTTTATTCTTTGCGCAGGTACTAAAAACAACAATAATTGATAAAATAACTAGATTTACTCTGAGGCCCATGAAGTGCGACATTCCCAGTAATGATTTACTCAATTCTTACTTCTTAGCTTGTATTCTCACCCTTTTATACTGCGATACTACGTGCCATATTTTTTATACTACTTCGGTAATTTATACAAGATTTACTACTATTATGTACGGAGTATGTAAAGATCAAAAGACATAAAAGGGAATAATAAATATTATCCAAAAAATGTGTTCATAGTTACTAATCGATATCGATATAAGTGGATATATGATAATGAATAGTCCCTATATCCAATATCATCCACCTATTAAAGTTTATCCCTTAAATATGACACCATGCCTTAAATGAATTCTTTTAATTAAATAGGCCAGGACTATAAAAGATAGAGAAATGACACAAATATAATCATCATTACTTTCTTTCTAAAATACTCCGTAAGAATTATTTATTTCTATATAGAAAAAATTGTTTTCTCAACAGAAACTAATATTTTTTACTTAATTTGAAAAAAATATCTACTCCTATATTTTACACTACACTTATATTTTAATCATATGTTAACTTTAGCAATTTCTTTAATTTTGTAGCGGGTAAAACTCATTTGAGCCCGTCAATGATCTCTCTTAGTTTTACAGCACGGAGTATATATTCTAATCTTTGATTTTATACAAATTGTTACTACCTCCGTCCCATTTTATGTGTCTTAGTTTGACTTGGCACAATTATTAATGAAGTGGTTGAAAAAGTAAAAGTTGTGGTTGAGATTTGAGTATAATAAAGTGAAATGGTGTATGCCACATATTTCTTTCCAAAAAAGAAAAGTAGACACTTATTTTGGAACAACTCAAAAACGAAAGTAGGACAGATAAAATGGGACAGAGAGAGTATTTAATTGATTGTTTTTCAACTTTTTTTGGATGAAAGGTTAATGTATAATAAAAAGAGTTTTGCTTCGTGTACACATCAGGTTACACACTGGCTTACACACCCAAGTGTAATTGTCGGTCGATACATTACAAAAAAACAACATTTTTGTCACGGATTTTGTCTTAACAACTCTGTTACAAAATATTTCCGGAGTTCACGATTTTTTTTGTCACTGATAGAATCCTTGACAAATTTTGCCACAGATAAAATCCATGACAAAATTTTTGACAACATGGCCGCCAGTACACCCAAAACTTTCTGACGAGCCTTATTTCGTCGCTGGAATTTTGTCACAGATAAAATTCCTGACAAAATTTAATTGTTTTACCTGTTACATTTTGTCACAGATTTTTTCATGACAACTTCCTTGACATATTCACTACCAAAAAAACTCGTTATACACACGGATTTAGGCACGGAATATATCCTAGACATTTTTGGCGCAGATTTTGGCACGGAAAGCCCAAATAGTCGATTAATTCCGCCTCAGGCACGGATAAATCCGTGCCACAAAGTTTGTCTCGGACTTTTCGACCCTATTTCCGTGCCAAGACCGAAAAAACTTCAAATCTGTTGGCATGCGAATATATCCGTCACAAATTCCGAGACAAGTTGGCAGAGAACTCTGTCCGACCCAACGGGGGGCGCTTTTTGTTTGAAGTTGGTGCGACTCATTTCCGTGCCAACCGTTTCCGTGCCTAAATCCGCGCCAACGCCGCATCATATTCAGCTGACCCCATTTCCATCCTTATATCCATGCCAAAATGTAGCCGTTATGCTGGCAGGCGTATATCGGACCCGAAAGGCGTGCCAAAATATAACCGTTAATTTGCCCGTCCCACATTCTGCCTAAATGTATTTCCGTGCCAATATCTGAGACAATGAAGGCCGTTGGCACGTTTTGGCTGGTGTATTTCCGTCCCAAGATCCGTGCCTACTAATTCTACAAATACATGTTTGGTGTGTGAAAAAACTACATCTCTCAAAATGATCTCTTTAATATTTGTGTATGATGAATTCTGGGTAGAAGTTGGAAGTTATATTACTTGATATCTGGAGGTTTATATTTGGATTTCTTACTTTATATTACTTGGTATCGTCGTTGTACTTAAGGTATGTAAATTTCGACCATTCTGTTTTTAAATTAATTTGATCATATCCATATTACGAGATGTTATCAGCATTATTTTTCTTAATTATATTGATTGAATTCTAGTGTTAGCCTTAAAACGTGAGACATTAATTTGTAAATTTAATAAATTAATTTCGTTAAGATATACTGTCAAAAAAAAAATTAAGATATTTTTTAATATTCAGGCACAATGAATAGACAAACTAGAAGTTGGATGTCTGACCGTTACAAGGAAAATGGTAGAGGATTGAAAAAAGTGTTCGAAAATGGAGTTAACGAATTCATTAGATTCGCAAAAGGGCAACCACGCTATATGGATGGAAGTAAAATAAGATGTCTTTGTACAAAGTGTAAAAATAACAAATTTGTTGAAGGTGGGGAGTTTTGTTGGCATTTATATACGCATGGTTTTGTTGAAAACTATTACAACTGGACTGCTCAAGGAGAACCAATTGAGCCAGAGTTGTTGCCGCAAAATGTAGGAACATCGAGGTATGTTCGGTGTTCCCGACGAGATGGCTAATTGGGGAAATTATGAAGAAATGGTATGAGAGCAAAAATGCTTTATGAATTGGCTGGTCCTTTTACGTTTCCCAATATCCACACGGATAGTGAGTTCAACGCACACAATAATGTGAACGAAGGACCAAGTTCATCATATTATGATGTGGATGTGTTAGGCACTAGATTTCAAGAAGTGCTCAAAAGTGCGGATCAGCCTTTATATTCTGACTGTTATGATCATTCCCAATTATCAGCAGTTTCTGAATTTCTTAACATAAAGTTAGAATATAACCTATCTGAGAGCTGAATGTCCAAAATATTAGACTCATTTGGTAGTATGTTACCTCGGGACCATTGTCTTCCCGATACTTACTACAACATGAAAAAGCTTGTTTCTGAGTTAGGTCTCCTTATGATAAAAATCCATGCATGCCCTGGAGGTTGTATGTTGTTTTGGAAGAACGACGAAACACTGATCCGGTGTAAGTTTTGTAATGGGTATAGGTACAAGCCCATATCAGGTATTGGTCGAAAAGCACGAAAAAGATCTGCAGCATCTAAGTTGATATATCTTCCTTTAGCACCACGTTTGCAGAGATTATATGCCTCAAGCGCTACCGCTAAACACATGACGTGGCATGTAGAGCATGACACTGAAGAAGGGTTAATGTGTCATCCATCAGATTCCGCAGCGTGGAAGCATTTTGACAGGTGTTATCCTCAATTTGCTTTTGAGCCGCGTGAGAATTGGGTTATGTTTCGATGGTTTTGTTCTGTACGGTCAATTTGGAGGCCAGTTCTCATGTTGGCCAATTATCATTACACCATATAACTTCCCCCCAGACATGTGTATGAAAAATCATTTTATGTTTTTATCATTAATGTGTTCAGGTCCTGGTAATCCAAAAAAAAAAAGAATTGATGTGTATTTGCAGCCATTGATCGAAGAGCTGAAACAATTGTGGGAAGTTG